AAACTTTAATAAGATACTTATTCGTAAGTTATTATACAAAGTGGAACATTTTGCAATATCATAATGTTATACGATAGCTTATTGTAAAAATATTAACTATTTGGTGAAATTCAGTAAACACTAATGGAAAACTTTAATTTCAGGATTCAATTTTTACTAATAAAAAATGCAGTTTGTAGTAAAATCAAGTTTATCATCGCTAATATTCTAATTGCATATTTAAAGTGGTATTACACAACTTTAATTTTCTGAAATTTTATTGGTAATAAATATTCATCAAATATAAAGTCTCTGCAGTATTCTTACTGTATTTGAAGCTACCTATATTGCCAATATCGATAATTCTTCTGCAAGTCTTCGACATGACTATTTGCCGGCGGTTGCTTATTCGATTTCTCTTTAAAGACAAGCTATACCACTGATACTGATGCACCAATTCGGGTCGCATATAGAGCGGTAGGCTATTGAAGTGTTACCAACTAGACACAGATATATCTGTCAACTACGTAAAATTCATACGAATGTCAGCTGTTTATATTCTTTACAGACTACTACAAGCATTTGCGTCTAAGTTTTATAGAACAAAAGTTATTCGAAATGGAATTCCAACGTAATAGTGTGATCATATTATATTTGGCTGGAAAAACACAACCAGCTATTGCTCGTGAACTCAAACATCTCAATATAAATAAAATGTTTGTGTATCGTACTATAAATTGTTGTAATAGTACAGGAAGTGTCCTAAACGCTATGGTTGTGTACAAAAAACAGCAATATCATCCGAAATGACTCGACTTAAACAAAATCCATGATAATATCCCAGCAAAGTATCCGACGCAGATTCCAAATTAATAAAGCCTTACAAGTTCTAAAAGGCACAAGTTCTTACAATAAAGCAAAAAAAGTTAGACTCAAAAGAGCAAAAAAATTGTTAGGCTTGCACGAACGAGGAAAACTTCCCCAACTTTTCAAGTAATAGTGTGGGCAGCTGTGACCACCGATGAACGCTACCTAATCGTTTTCATCGAGCTTGGAGGCAAAGTCAATGCGACTAATTTATAGGGAAAATGGTTTGGAAGCTGCTTTAGAGACATGGGCACACTAATATTTAGTTCGTAGACCATGCAACAAGACTCGGCACCGTCTAAGTGAACCCAGAGCGATTAAAAAATTATGTCCCACACTTCATTTTGTCCACACAATGGCTTTCGAACTCACCAGATGCAAATCCGATGGACTAATCCATCTATGTCATTTTAGAGAGCAAGATGAGGACTAGAAAATATGCCAGTATAGATGTACATAGATGAACAAAAAGCCATTGTTCTGGAATGGGCCAATATTCACGAAGATTATATTCACGAATCATACAACTCATTTTTTAATCATTTGAAGGCCATACTCAAGGCAAAAGATGGACACATTGAGTTAGATTGAATGGATTCAGAAATTTTAATTATTTTCACAAATTTTTGTAATATAAATTAATTAAAAAATTATTTCACACAAAAGAATGTATTCGCTTGAATAAATAACACTTCAATCGCTTAACCCTGTAATGAACGCCTTTATGTAAGAGGTGCGCTGTAACCTATTAATGTAAGAGATGCGTATGAAGCAATTATTTAAACTAATGTTTTCAATCAATTTCGTAAATTTATTCAAATAAAACAGCTAAATAAATTTCGTTAATGTTAAAATTATACAAAAAAAAATCTGTTCCAAAGCTAAAACTACAGAACTTCCAAATATAACTTCCTCTTCCGCAACATGCAAAACATTGTACGAGTACCTCTGTTGTATCTTCAAAAAGGGATCTATTAAGATGCTTTATCAAGTAGACATATTAACAATTTTGTGGTGTTGATTTCTAAACCGATTATTTGCGTATTTCTGTTAGAACTGTCTACATTATATTGAAAACAACTACTATTGTGCCTTGGTTTTTATACTCTAGATCTTTCATATATTGAAGGACAGCTACGAAATGCTGTAAGAACTATTATATATAAAAAAAAATTACGTAGCATTTATTAAACTATTCTACCATGATAAATATGTATATATAATTTATATATATAATTACAATATATTGTATTAATCTTTTATAATTAATATAATATATGAAATAAAATCGATGTATAATATTTGTGATTTTTAAAGTTGTGTATAATATAATATGTGAATATAATATGCCTATAAATATAACATATAGGTGTCTCTCGTTTAATATGATAAATTTCAACACCGTGGTACACAACACTTTTTTATTTATTTATTTATTTATTTAAACCAACATGCTTCTCATATGCTTTGTTCTTGCCGTACATTTGCAGTATGTCAACTTACTATTCTAGTGACCTCTTTTTTGAGGATGTTGGTTAACTGCAAGACCTCCCATTAATAAGCATTTTAAGCTTCACCAAAGATTCAAGGTGGTTTTAAACTTCTACGTTTTTTCCTTTCTCGGTAACACAATGAGCCAATAGGCCCCACTGCATCTATGTCGATAGAACCTAACCTAACTAACTTACCCCAAAATGTAATGTATAAAAATACAATTTAAATTCAAATGAAATGTATTTTAGAGCAAATGCACTATTCTGTATCGAAACCTATTTTATAATGTACCGAAACTATGTTGTAAATAACTTGAAAGCAATATAGGTAAATCAATTCACTTCTTACCGTGTTATATCGGAATCAAGTTTTAAGATGTGAACTTTTCTATAACTAAAATTTTATTTTAAGTGCACATATAACGTATATATTAGTGAATGAAAAATTAAATAATATTAAAAGAAAAAAAATCAAGTATTTATTAGAAAAATCGAATAGGATGGTGCTTCATCGCCATACAAAGATTTAAGTTTATCAATGCACTCTTGTCGTGATAATCCATATCGAAAGTTGTGAAAAATGATCACACGAATATGTTCACGTGTCAATTCCATTTTTTGGCCGAGATGAATTTTTGTAGTCTGTAAATGAACCAATTCACATTTAAATGACAACACGTTCTGAGTGATGTTATTCTAAAAAATGTAAATCTTTCCAATGAAAATGTCAGATTCCACCTGGCAACACTTAGTGTTGTCTAGACCAGAAATATATATAGCAGCCTTCATATTAAAATACAAAAAAAAAAATTTAAACAAAAAAAATTATAATTATTGCTAATTTACAACATCACTATCCTAAAATATTTTTCTAATTTTTTTTCTACAAGTTGTTAGAAAATTCTTTCAGTTCTTTCACAAGTTTTGTACCATCTAATACGAATCCATTAAAGTATACCATGCTTGCAACTTTTGTATCATACAATAAAAAAACCGTATTGTGCAAATACCGTGGTAAATGAAGGACATCTGTATGTACATATAATATATATAAGAATAATATATATATATTTAAAATGCGAATTTCGAATCGAATATTTAAAATATATGAATATTGAATTATATTTGTTTCTCATATCGCATTATAATATATATTCCTCATAATATATTTAAGAGTCATATTGCCTACTTAAAAGTTTTTTAATAATTTCTTTTTTCCATAATTAAATTAATTAAAATCTGCTAGCAGGCAAATTATTGCACTTATACTGTTTTGCAATATTCCATTCGAGCTTCATTTGCACAAGGACTTGTTCATCATCCTGTGAGTATCACATCGCTTAAAAGCATACTTACATTTTTAATATATTTTCTTTATAGCCTTTCGCAGGACTATTGACGTCATTAAACTGTAATTTTAACTACGCATATTTCAGCGTAAGAATGTGCGTAATTGGTAGGCAATCCAAATAAGTTAATTTGTTTAATTAAATTTATTAATCAACAATTAAATCCACCACTTCATATCAATATATTATAATAATTTGAGTACGAATTTACAACCAATTGTTACTTTTCGCAAAACAATCGCTTGTTGACTCTATGATTCCCGCAACAAACGAAGGTTCTACAGCTCCAACTACAGTCCGGAAGAAAACTGTTGCATCCACAAAAGGTAACAATATGACAGTTTTGAGAACCTGAAAAAGTTCTGACACAAATTGTCATTTTAGATTCTTTTTAATATATAATTGCAGATATGGATGTGAAGGACATAGTATTTTAACAGACAAACTGTCCTTATTTTATATCAAATTCGAGTTTTGAGAAAGGTTTTATCTATCAGTTTTAATGTCATATGTTTTAATGAGATATCAATCTTTATGCAATTAATCTTTTGAAAGTGTTTTTAATGTACTCATTTACGATATATGTTGAGATATTAGAATATATTGTTTTATCAGGCTTAAAATAAAATTTCTTTCTTCCATGGTAATTGTTGTAAGTTCGCATTTATTCGTCCAAAGTTAATAAAATTTAAACAGCACACAAATTACCTAACTATACATAAAATTGCTCATAGATGATCACAAAGACGTTCTTTAAAAAAAATCCTCCTCTTACATAGAATTAC